GCGAGGGCGCCGCGCGGCGGGCGGGCGCGCATGCGCGATGACGCGCCGCGACGTGCCCGCTATATCAGCACCCGGCAGGCGCTGACTCGGCCCTTTCCGCCTCGCTCCCGCCCAGCTCTCGGGTCGCTGCGCAGAGACCCGCCGCCGCCGCTAAATCACCACAAAACACCCTTCTTTCCCCCCCCTTTCCCTTCCCGCCGCCATGATCATCTACCGGGACTGCATCAGCCGTAAGGATTGGCGGCGCGGGGAGGGGGAGAAGACGGGCGCTCGGTGGTTTAGTCGGTAGAGGGGGGGGGGAAAGCGCTTGGCCGCGGCCTGCGCCCGGCCGCTGGGCCTGGTGCTGCCGCGCATGTGCGGTACGGGCGGCTGAGGGGAAGGCGGCTGAGGGCCGGCCCGGGGAGGCGGAGGTCGGAGGCTGACCTGTGTGTCTTGTGTGTGTCCCCCCTGCCCTTCTTCCTCACAGAGGACGAGATGTTTTCCGACATCTACAAGATCCGGGAAGTGGCGAACGGCCTGTGCCTGGAAGTGGAGGGGAAGGTGAGTGACCCGCCCGCTCCCGGGGAGGGAGAGGGAGGGATGGGGGGGGACTCGGGGCCCGGTTGCTGCGTGGAGGTAGGATTCGGGGGTTGGCTTCGTTGCTGGAGGTCCGAGAGGGGCAGATTCACCACGGCCTGGTGCCTGGGGCCAGGGCAGGGCTGGCCGCTGTCAGGCGTGAGAGGGCACGGGACAGCCAGGCCGGAGTAGAGCACCGGCGGTGTAACGAAGCTTCGGTCGGGCACCGGGAGAGGAGTCTGGCTTAAGAAATCTGTGCTCAGGCTGCAGTCGGGTTCCTTGCGCTTAACTGTGGCTCTGAAGTCATGCCCTGCCGTCAGGTCATAGATGTGTAAGAGCGGTAGCGTTAAGATTTTTGCAGAGCCGTTAAGTTTTTTGATGTCTCTAAATCTAGATGGTCACCAGGACAGAGGGTCAAATTGATGACTCTCTAATTGGTGGCAATGCCTCTGCTGAAGGTCCTGAGGGAGATGGAACAGAAGCCACGGTCATAACTGGTGTTGATATAGTAATAAACCACCACCTTCAGGAAACCAGCTTTACAAAAGAATCCTACAAGAAGTACATCAAGGACTACATGAAAGCGTAAGTGTTGATAAGCTTTTTCTTCAAATGGGATTGCAAAATTTTTAGGCTGCTGAGATTTTAAAAACAGCGTTGAACTTTATTCCTTGTAGGTGTTAGTTCTGGTACAGGTGCCAATCTGGCTGTGAACTGCAGTAATGTCTTAATGCTTGGCAAAACTGGAAGTCTAAAGAATTGATACTGGAATATCTAAGTTTATCTTGGCTGGGGCAGAGGACCTGATCACATGCTTTGGATATTATTTGTAACCTTGCTGTTTTCTTTTGGATTTGTCTGTGCCAAACATTAATGTGGAAGGGAGTGAGGTAGCGAAGAAAAGCTTCCTGAAGCTTTTCTAACTTGACAGTTTAAATGTCCAAAAATAGTATGTGTGAATGGAACTTTTTGCTAATTCAGGGTGTAGTTTCTGCTACTCATGGTTCAGTGGGTTAGTATTAAAGGTGGAAGCAAACACTTCGTGATACTGATGGTGCTCTTGGTGCTGTGAAAATGGCTTGCTAATTCTTGTCTACCGATAGCCTACAAGTAAAATGAGCTTGATAGGAGTGGCAGACACTGTTCTGCTAATGCACTAGCAAAAATAAGTTAAAAGTGGGGGGCTTTGAGAGGGAGAGGGGGAGGGGCAGCAAAATCAAACAGTTTGACTGCTAGTAACTCTTTCTGTTATGGTGTGATGCTGCACAGTGAAGTTACATAAGCTAGAATATGTTTTCAGAGCTTTTTTTTACCTTCCAGAATCAAAGCCAGACTTGAGGAACACAAGCCAGAGAGAGTAAAGCCTTTCATGACAGGGGCTGCAGAACAAATCAAACACATCCTTGCTAACTTCAAAAACTACCAGGTAATGAAACTTATGTTTCCTTATAGCAGTATTGCAGTGATGCAAGCTGTGATTCGTTCAGCAGATGAACCAGCTTGTTGAGAGTTTTGAGGGCTCCTGTTCTGAGGACACCTAACTTGCCCTTCTTTAAGAGTATTAGGGGCTCTGAGAGTCAGGGAGGAGAAATAGCAAAAGACTTAGGTGTTTGGGGATGTCATTTCAGCTTGCCATGCTTGTAGTTAGCTACATTTGTACTTGCCACCATTTAGGAACTGTGGAGTTAAAGACTTGAAAGATGGATCACTTTGACTGCTGCTGTGTCTTACTCTGCTGTTCATAGCAGTGTGGTGAAGTTACATGGTACTGAAATGGACAAGCTGCAGAAAGCAAAGTCCTGCAGCTGGTCAGGGGGGCTTTTAAACTGAACTTGGAGATGTTACAGCTTTTTTGTATAAAAAGGCACTTTCTCCTGGTAATAGCTCATTAAATGTCTCAGTAACACATTTCTCTGAAGTTCTTTGTAGGAGAGAACATGAATCCAGATGGTATGGTGGCTCTCCTGGATTTCCGTGAGGATGGTGTGACCCCGTATATGATTTTCTTTAAGGACGGCTTAGAAATCGAGAAATGTGTAAGTACTGACCTGAATTGGATGAATGCGCCTAACTACGTGATTAGCTCTTTCAATGCATCACTTGTTCTGTCATATCCCTCTTAAAGTTGAACAGTAGCTGCCAGTTTAAAAACTTAAAGTTCATGTAAGTACAGCCTAATTGCTGCTTCGTGTTACATAAAGTGGGTGAAGCTTCCCTTGTACACTATTCAAAGGGGACATAGTTTCACTGCAGTGATTCATGGTGACTTAATGGCTGAGAAATGCAGAAAGAATTGCCTTGGAGAGATGTGTGTAATTGGTAATGGTTTTAAACTATTAGATGAAAGATAGTGTCCTTGGAAATGGAGCACTTTTGCTCTGGATCCCTCTTGTGGGGGTTAATTCTGAAGTACCTTACATGGTCAGGTTCCATCTTCTTTCACTTAGTGTGATGCCCTTACTTTGTTATGTGAGAACTGTCTGTTTAAATATTGCCCTAAATTTGGGAACATGGTAATACTTGGCCGAGTGCTTAACCTTATTCTATCTGGAATCTCCAACTGCCTGAGCTCAGACAGCTCCTGTGGTCTGCTTTATCTTTAACTACTCTATCTTGGAATGTAGCTGCAATGAAACAGTATTTGGACCCCAACACTTGCATTTTTTGGCTTATTCAGGGAGCCGTGGAATTCACTGCAGACTAGCAGTGTGGGATCACCGATTGCTTTGCCCAGTCATTGTAGACTTACGAAGCCTGTTTATAGCCAGCTAAATTTATCTGTAAAGCCTCTTGCAGGCTTGCTGGTATGAAAGTCATGTAAAGATGAACCAACTTCTAGGGCAGAGCAGTGGCCCAACTAAAGGAATACTTTTATTGGCCAAAACAGGCACACCGCCTCCTGTGTGTCCTGGGCCCTAGAACAGGTGGTCACCTGGAAGGTGCCTCCTCGGAGCAGAAGCTTGTGTGCATCTCCCCTACTTGGACAGACCTTTTGGATGTGTAACTCCATTTGCTTCAAGATGGAGTAAAAGAATTGTGGCAGGGTGTTCCAGTGGGCAAAAAACTGTTCCAGCTTCTTGGTACAGCTGTTGCAAGAGATAGCATGTACATTGTAAGCTTTAGTACTTGTTTAGGATGTGCTCTTACTTGAGGGGAACTCTGGAACTTGGTGTGTCAAGCAAAAAGGGTGTGAATGAGTATCTTGCCTGGCTTGCTCAGCAGCTGATGCCAGTTGCTCTGTACGATTATAAAAATGATCAGCATCCTCTGATAGACCATGAGCACTCTTCCTATTGCTCTCTGGTTTGCACTAAGATGCAAAAATAACTTCCTTGCGCTTTCTGCCTGCCTGACTGTGGCAGCTCAGATTGAATTAGGGAATACACAAATAAGTTGTAGAAACTTAGCGTGACTGTCATGACCTTGAACTAACACTTGCTACTCTTGTTTCAGTAACAAATCAAACAGTATGGTTTTGGATCACTTGTCTTCATAGCTGGCTGCTGTTTCTTCTTCATTGGCACAACACCAGGAATCGGCAATGTCTAACAACTGGACTGATGTCATCTTGAGCTTTATTCACTTATTTTGACCCTGATTTGGAGTGAAGGCATTGTTTTAAAAAAAGAAAAAACCAAACATCTGTCATGTAGGTTGTCTAAAATAAAACTCATTTAAACCCATTCCAGGTGATGCCTTTTGGTCTATAGTGTGTTTCTTAAGGTGACTTGCAGGAGAGGTTGCAGCAAGGTGTTTGTCCAAGGATCTGGTACTGTCACTAGTATGGCCTGGTCCTAGCGCACCACAACTTGACTGTCTCCAGACAGACTTCACACGGTTTCTACCTGCGGCATTGGAGTGCGAGAGCAGGCTGAGGTCAATAAGGCAAAGCCCAAGAAATGTCATCGTAATGGAGTGGACCACCTTCATCTTTCATGCTTGCACAGAGACTTGCCTCTGGAAGAGATACCAAAATTAATTAAAAAACAAAACCAAACCCAGAATGGAATGTGTGCTGTTCAAGCTGAGCTTCTTTGTCAGACAAGGACACTTGAGTCTGTCCTCAGTTGTAGTATGACTTCAGGATCAAGGTAGGAGGATGGATGGAGCAGGAGTCTTAACACCAGCACTCTCTGAGCCCAGGTACTGGGAACATTGTGGGGAGAGGGTAAAATTCCTAGGTTTTCCAACACAGGCCAGCTGTGGTACTACCTCCTTTGTATTTGACAGCTGTTTAGGAGCAGACTAACTAGAACTCTGTCAAGCTGCAGGATTTTGGAGTTTTCTGTACTTCTTGGGGAGAGAAATGTCAGAATGGCCTAGCCCTGTCCTAGGCTTACCACAAGGCAGGTGCATGTCTGGGCTTGAGCCTTACCTGAGCCTTTATAACTTAAATGTTCCTGCTGTGTTGCCTGTTAGGAAATGCATCTGTTTGACAGACCTGGAGCAAACAGCTGTTGCTTCTCTGGTTCTTGCTGAGATGCAACAGTAATGGGTTCCTTGCGCTTTCTACCTGTCTGACCTTGTGGCAGTCTGGATTGAATAAAGGAACACAAAACACCTTCGCAGAGCCCCGGCTGGGGCTGAAGGGGTTTATGTCACTGCTGACAACACGGAGGTGTGTGCCAGACCAGGGTTGTTGCCTTGGACTGTAAATCATTAATGCTTCTTACTGCAGTGATGGCAGAGGTACAGGAGGTTAAGGTGCCTGAAAGGGGAGGGTGTGACCCACTCTTGCCAGCTGTTGATCTGTGAGGCCTCAGGCTTCCATGTCAGAATTTTGTTAGCATTTTTGCTGTCTTGTGTCAGTTTTTGGTCCCTGGTGCTGGAGGACTGAGATGGATGCGGCAGCAGGCTGGGAGGAGGGAGAGAGTGTCTGCAGAGGTGGGGGTGGAGTGTGCCCTAGTTATCTCGGAGGTTCCTGTCTGGTTTAAACACACCTTATTTTTGTTCTATGGGAACTTCATTTACATAGCGTTTTTTTTTTTTTAGCTTTCCCAAGAAAGGGTCTTGGGCTAGCTGTGCTTCTGGCTGAGGTACAATTTTGGTGTAATCTGAGCAATGTAAATCGGTGCTCCTCTGCCTTCACCCAATGGGGCTGAAAGGCAGGGAAGCAGGTTCAAAGCCTAAATAAAATCACTGTGACCCAACTCTGGCTTTCCTTGCAGAGCATTTGTTTAACGGGGCTAGGTGAGGATGTTTTCTTACCCTTTCTGTTGCATCTTTGTTAAAAACAGGGAGCCTTAAAGGAAGAGGAGAGTAAGCACTTGCTTAGCTTGAGACATTTTGCTTAGCGGTGGAGTAAGGTTAGTGTGGGCAGGGCAGTGCTTGTATGCCCATGCAGCCTCTAATACCGCTGGCTGCCACCTCCAGTGACTCAAAAGTGTTTAAAACTGAGGGGAGCTGGTATGTGGGAGTGAAAACAGCTCTTCTCCCCCCTGCCTGGCTGCTTGGCGAGTTACGCCTTGCTGTTGGGTTGGATGGCTTATGGCAAATTGCGTGCCATCCTGTCTGTACTCCAGGCTAATTGGGATACTTAATTGGTGTGTGCAAACATGCTTAACTAGTGGGTTACGTGCTCCTCTCCATCTCTTATGCTTTTCTGCATGGCAGAGCCTCTGATGGGAAGTCTCCCTTCAGCCTGTTGTAGGAAAGTGTCAGTTCAAAGGCTCTTGAGATGCAGGATTTTGTTCTGTTTGTCTCCAGCCAGCTGCAAGAGAAGGGGTTTCACTGCTGGCTGTGCCATGCTTCCCAAAAATGTATTGCTGCCTTCAGTTTCTCGGGGAAAAGGGGCAAGTCTTGCCGCTCTCTGGTGTCCAGGCACCGGGGAGGAGAGGTTAAACCCCACTTGATGGCAGGGAAGGCCCGCGGCAGTGACAAGCAGCACTCTCAGCCGAGCTGCTGTGGTAGCTGCTGGCAGCGGAGGCAGGGCGAGGGAAAGTTGGGATCCAGCTCCTTGCCTTGGAGTTGCCACATACTGTGAAGTGGGAGGCGTGTGGCTGGTAAATGGACTTGTCAGCAGTCCGTGATGCAACTCCGAGTTGGAAATGAAGTCAGAGTACTTCCTTGTAACCCAATTCCTCCTCTTCTGGCCCCTCGTCATTTCAAGCAGCTGTTTTCTGGGTCTGCAAAGCTGAAGTGATTTGAGAAGGCAAGGCTTTATACTACTGTAATGCTACAGCTTTGGAGTTGCTAAATTGATAAAAATCCCCCATCATAACAAATAATCCTGGTGCTGCTTAAACACAGCCTGAACTGAAGGACAGTTTTAAAACCTCTCCCCATCTTGTTTTAAAATGTGCTTATCAGGCTTGTATCTCGCATTCCTGGAAAGACATTTTCTGTGGCTGGAAGGGCTGTGGAGCTGGGAAGGATCCAAATAGCTTTTCCTCCTGAGCCTCACGGAGTGGGTTAAGCGGCTGGGCAGAAACCTTTCCTCTGCCGGCACAGGGCCAGGAGGTGGCTCCTTGCACTGGCCATGAGCCAGCTGCTGGCAGGGGAAGGAAGCTGATTGCTTATAAAGAGGGGAAAAAACCTCCCTTTTTAGTTTTCTTACTTTTGTGGTTAAGGGAGTGATGTCTTGGGGCTGGAAGAAGCAGCTACTGTGTTGGGCACGTGTCCCACTGTCCCCTTGGCCTTTCACCGTCCCACCCCACTGCTCTTCCCCTTTGTCTCACAGTTTTGCTGCCCCAGATGGGTGCTGGGAGGGGTGCTGGTGGGGCCAGAGAGAGCTGGATACCCCTATTGCCCCCTCTTGGGTACCCAGCTGAGCCAGCCCAGCTCCATCCCTTGGCTTTGCCCACTCAGTGTGGGCAGGGGGTGGATGCCAGAGCCCAGGTGGATGCCAGAGCAAAAGGAAAATGAATGATGTAGGGAACAGAGTTGGGTTTGTTCTGGTTTGGGGTTTTTTTTCCGCTTGGTTTAGCTCAAGGCCAGGAGGTATTTACTGTAAGCTTAGGACATGGTTGTTGTCAGAGAAGTAAAATTAGATAATTTTTCAAATAAGCTGTAGAAAAAAAAATAATTAAAAAAAGCTGCAACTTGCTTCCTTCCCTTAGCAAGTCTCTGTTGAGCTGGCTCAGGCTGGCCTGCTGCAGTCCTGGCAGTGTTTTCAGTGACAGCTGTCTAGGGATGATGTTTTTATTAAACAGTAATAGTATCTGCATCAAGATACCTCTCTTTTCTTGCATGCTGCTGCTGGCTTGGAGCAGGTAAGATGCCTCCCTCCGCTCCCACGGACCTCTGGCTGCGCTTCAGCTCTGCAGCTGCTTCCCTGGGATGCGGCTGTTGTAAACTGGGATGTTTTACCCTGCACCAGCCAGCAAGTAAATCTCCATGTCAGCGCTAGCCCACAGCGGGAGAGCAGCAGTTAAACACCATGTTTGTTTAGCTCAAGAGATAAATGTTTCGGGAGGAGAGGAAAAAAAACAACTAGCCAAGCCTGAAAGTCTTTGCTATAAACAGCCCAAAATCCATTGCCAGGAGCACAACCGTGCTGGTTTGTGGTCCCTGGGCCTTGGCTGCCTTTTGGTTGAAGCTGCAGCTGGAAACTGTTGTGCAAAGATCACAGCCAAGTGGCTGTGGCCAGGGCTTGGGAAGCTTTTTTTGGGTGCCAGCAAATGCTGGTGACCCTGGAAGTGTGTTCTACAGGAGGGCAGCAGGATGTTGTTGAGGATGTGTGTAGCTGCTGGGTGGTTTTGAGCCATTAGAGCTGCATTCATCACCTTCCACTTCTGGCAGAATGGAGCCAAACACCCTAGGAGGCCTTTTTAGACTATTTTGGTATGTGATACCAACCTTGACAACGAGGCAGCGGCTGAACGCAGTGAGAAAAATGCTGAGCAATCATTTCTCTGCAGCCCTCCCGATATCCTGGGAGCGACCAGCAGCGGTGGGAGGAAGCAGGGCTGGCATTTCGGAGAGCGGCCCCATTCCCTCCCATCCTCGGCAAGGTGCGGGCATGCCGGCAGCCCTGCCAAAGCAATGCAGGTGTTTGATTTTTATAGGGATCGTCCAAAAAATTAGATGTTCGGAATGGATTTAAGGATTAGCTTCCCAAATTCTTTGTAATAGAGTAGTCGAGAAAAGGCCATGTAAAGCTGGATGCTCCCTCCCGGCTCGCAAAACCCCACTGCTGCTACTGGAATAGTCTGGCTCAAGGGCTCTGTGGGCTGCAGCCATAAAAGTGCCTGCAGCTGCTGGCGCTTGGTCAAGCTGCCCACAAAAAGGCGTTTAAGGGGCTCGGTGCAGCCCTTCACCCATCAGCTTTGGCAATCACCTCCTGGCAGTCTGTGCTGTCCGGTTCACCTGGGGTGGTGGGGCGAAGAGTGCTTTGACCCCCATAAACCCACTTGATTTTTAAGCTGAACGGGCAAGATAGCAGCTGCCCGCAAGTAGAAGGGTTTTGTGTTCACGGCCAGCTTGCTCACTGCGGGTCGGGCAGCTTTGGGAAGGATGCACAGGAGGAGAATCTCGGGGTGCTCGGGCTGGTGGACCCTGCGCAGATGCAGCCCTCGGTGCTTGCAGCATCTCCCATCACTGGAGTTTAAATAGGGTCTTCCCAAGGCTGGGCTTGGCCGGGTGATAGAGGGAGGCTTTTCAGGAATCCGTGCTGGGTTTTATGTGAGCCTCTCTGGAAGAAAAAGAAAGACCTTGAATTAGATGTGTGAAGCCCAGGGAAGGT